TAGAACTCACAGTCTCCTGGTTTCTAAGCCAGCACCTTCACCATTACACCTCACCAGTTCTATGCATATTATGCCTTTTTCTAGAAGTTGTTAGCCAGAACAAATGCTATCAGATTTCTGATTTTAAGGCCCCAACTATATCCATCCTAAAATTTTTGAGGGAAATTTCAAGGCTGAGGCCTGTCTCCAGTGAACTGTAGGGAACAAAAAATAAAAATGATGAAATGATTTGAGATGAAATCGAGGCAAAGGAATGCCGAAAGGAGCATTTTAGACTTTATAGGTAATACTGGATTTCCCCACAACAACAGTATAGTTATTAATACTGTAGTATTACAAAAAAATAAATAGAACTGAAAGAAACCGTGTCCAAGGAAAAACAAACAAGGGAAGGAAATTATAAATGCTGTGAGTTTGTTGAAAATACAGTGAGGCTGCAGATGTGAATGAGGTAGCTAAAATATAAGTACAGTTTGTATATAGAACATAGAATAATAGAGTTGGAAGGGACCTGTGAGGTCTTGTCCAATCCCTGCTCAAGCAAGGGACGCTGTATCATTTCAGGAAAATGGCTGTGCAATCTTTTCTTAAAAACCTCCAATGATGGAGCATTCACAACTTCCAGAGGCAAGTTGTTCCACTGATTAATTGTTCTCACTGTCAGGAAATTTCTCCTTAGTTCTCTAGGTTGCTCCTCTCCTTGATTAGTTTTTGTCTGTTGCTTCTTGTCCTGCCTTCAGGTGCTTTGGAGAATAGCTTGATTCCCTCTTCTTTGGGGCAGCCTCTCAGATACTGGAATAACTGCTATCATGTCACCCCTTTTCCTTCCTTTCCTATCCAATTCCTGCCACCATTCTTCATGTTTTACCTCCAGTCCCCTAATCACCTTTGTTGCTCTTCTCTGCACTCTTTCTAGAGTCTCAACCTCTTTTTTTACATCGTGGCGACCAAAACTGGATGCAGCATTCCACGTCTGACCTTACCCGGGCATTATAAAGTGGTATTAACACTTCCCATGATCCTGATTCTATCCCTCTATTTAGACAGTATAGGACTGCGTTGGCTTGTTTGGTGGCTACAGCACTATACAATATTAAACATAATAATTTATTAACTGTAAATACCATCTGACTCCCAGAGACCCTGAGCAGTTTACCAATTGTTAAAATGCATTTAAAAACAAGGAAACAACATAAAACCCACACAAAAGGAACAAAGATGGCAGGGAAAACAAACCTAGATGGAAACAAGGAAAAGAAGAAAAGGGAATTTTTAACGTTTTCATGGCCTTTTGAAATCCCAGTAAGGATGGGTGCTTAACGTTTGAAAAGAATGGTATTACTGTCCCTTTATACAAAAAGGAAAAGATAAAAACAAAGTGAAGGTAAAAATTACAGGGATATTCATATGTTAAATTGAAGAACTGGGCAGAATTTTGCTTGAAGAAAGATTGAGACAGGCAATGTGTGGAAGGGAAGATAGAAAGAACAATGAGACTTAGGATGTGAAAATCAGGTTTTTACTCTTTTGCAGGTCACTGAAAAATGTGTAAGGGGAGAAAGATACTTGATTTGCAGAAATTATATGATAAAGTGAGTAAAATTTGAACTGTGGGGGTTCAGAATTTTTCACAAATATGAAGTGGAAAGTTGGTTGCTGTATAGAGTGGAGTGGAGTGGAATAGAATAGAATAGAATAGAATAGAATAGAATAGAATAGAATAGAATAGAATAGAATAGAATAGAATACGAAAAGATGGAATGGAACAAAATAGAATTTTTGTATCGTTCCAATTTTAGTATATGTGCTGTCGAAGTGAGCACTTGCGCAGGGGCCATGCTAATCTTCTCTGGGAATAGAATAGAATTTTTATTGAGAATAGAAGAGTTGGAAGGGACCTTGGAGGTCATGTAGTCCAACCCCCTGCTCAGGTAAGAAACCCTACAACCGTGATGGCGAACCTATGGCATGTGTGCCACAAGTGGCACGCAGAGCCATTTGTGCTGGCACACAAGCCACAGGCAAACTTACTTCACTGCGCATGCGCGTGCCTCACAGCTGATTTTCAGCCTGTTTGAGGCCTTTTTCGGCCTCCCAGAGGCTTGAGAAAAGCCTTTGCAGGCCGAAAAATAGGCCCGTTTCGTCACTTCCTGTATTTCCAGAAATACCGGAAGTGACTAAATGGGCCCATTTTTCGGCTTGCAAAGCCTGCAGAAGCTTTCCTCATGCGCACAATTTTTGGCACAGGAGCCCAAAAAGATTAGCCACCAATGCCCTACAATCATTTCAGACAAACGGTTGTCCAATCTCTTCTTAAAAGCCTCCAGTGCTGGAGCATTCACAACTTCTGGAGACAAGTCATTCCACTGATTAATTGTTAGAATTAGAATTAGAAGAACTTTATTGTCATTGTACAAGTACAACGAAACTGTGGATGCACCCCAGCAGTTAACTGTTCGCAATACAATAAAACCAGGAAATTGTTCTCAGGAAATTAGTTCTAGGTTGGGTCTCTCCTTGATTAGTTTCCATCTGTTGCTTCCTGTCCTTGGACAGGTGCAGGATACAGATTGTCCTCAACTTACGACCTGTCGCTTAGTGATTGTTCCAAGTTATGATGCACCCCCCCCCCCCCCCAAAAAAAGGCTACTTTACAACCTGATACTGAAGTTACAATGATTACCCAAACATCCCTGGTCCCTTGATCATATTTTGGACACTTGCCAACCAGCTCAATTTTACGGCCGTTTGCAGCATCCTGCACTCACATGACCAGGATTTGCAATGGGTTGGGGTTTTTTGCAAGTTTCTGATGTTTACTTCTGTTTTCTGCCCAAAAACACCCATTGGGTAAAATGGATTTCCTAAACGACCGCAGCATTTGCTTAACAACTTTTAGCTTAACTTCTGCCAAAAACGTCAAACCATCAGATCTGGCCACATAATACCTAAACTTATGACGATAATGACTTCCGATCATAATTCCAATTACTTCCGGTTTCTGGCCAAAAATGCCCACTAGGTAACGGATTCAATTAAACAGTGTTCCAATATCTAAGGGGCTGCCACCAGGAAGAAGGAAGTCAAGCTATTCTCCAAAGCACCTGAGTGCAGGACAAGAAGCAACAGGTGGAAACTAATCAAGGAGAGAAGCAACTTAGAACTATGGAGAAATTTCCTGACAGTGAGAACCAATTAATCAGTGGAACTACTTGCCTCCAGAAGTTGCGAATGCTCCAACACTGGAAGTTTTTAAAGAAGAGATTGGACAACTATTTGCCTGAAATGGTAAAGGGTTTCCTGTCTGGGCAGGGGGTTGGGCTAGAAGACCTCCAAGGTCCCTTCCAACTCTGTTATTCTATTCTGTTATTCTATTCTATTCCAATTACCATGGCATTTCCTTAACAACTGCTATGTTGAGTTAACTGCCACGAAAAATGTCAAAACATCAGGTGCAACCACATAATGCCCCTTCTTACAATTGCAATGACACACAACCATAATTCCAGGTTCAATTGAAGTCGTAAATTGAGGAATATCTTTATAATGAAAACAGGGCATGAATGAGAGTCCGTGGAATGCCTAATGAACACTCAACTTACTACAGTTCATTTAGTGACCATTCAAAGTTACAACAGCACTAAAAAGTGACTTAGGACCATTTTCCACACTTACGACCATTGCAGCATCCCCATGGTCACGTGATCAAAATTCAGGTGCTTGGCAATGGACTCATATTTACGACGGTTGCACTGTCCCAAGGTCATGGGATCCCCTTTAGCGACAAGCGAAGTCAGTGGGGAAGCCAGATAGTTACTAATTCAACCGCTGCAAGGATTCATGGCAAGAAAGGTCTTAAAATGGGGCAAATCTCATTTAACAAGTGTCTCACTTAGCAACCAAAATTTTGAGCTCATCAGTAGTCGTTAAGTTGAGGGTTACGTGTAGTTCAGCATTGAGCAGAGTGGTAAAGATGTAAAGATGGTGTCCCTTTAATTATTTGATAC